TGTTCTTTCTTGTGTGAATCAAGGTGTGGCTGAGATCATGCTGTTACTGCATACCTGAAACTTAAAGGCTAGCATATTTCTTCCAAGAGAGAGAAGAAGGAAGAAATGGATTCCTAGAACTAAGCACAGCATTCCTGGAACAAGGTACGCATGCTCTAATCCTTTCTTGCGTTTGCAGTTCTATTAATAGTACACAACCTCTTAAAACTGTATCTCTACTCCAAGAAAAGGTTCAGGGAGTTGATATTAATCATGCTTGTATCCCACCATTCTGCCAAAAATCTGAAAGCACCATAAATTGGCTGATACCAAGAATACTAATGCATGGAACTCTATCACAGGGCATTGCTGCTGGAGGAAATGGGGAGGGGGGTATGGATTATTTATTTATTTTATTTTTTGCCAATTCCACTTTCACCTCCAGAATGAGAGGTAGGGTTCAAGGGAAAGGGAGAATCAGAAAAACCGATCTCCCAGGCCCTAGTTATCTCCCAGCCTTCCACTAGCAGGAGTCTCTTCCATGAATAGAAGAATTTATATTCATGTGCCAGAGGGAAATTTGGATACAGCTCATTTTTCTTCCTCTTTTTTTTACCAACACAACCACTATGTGAAGTAGGTTTGCATTGTGAGTGTAACCTGTGCAATATCAGCTACTTAGTTTTGCACCTGTAAATTGGGGGCAGGGGCAGGTACCTCCCAATCCTACTTTGTTCATGAGCTACTCTAACCAGAGGGGAAGCATCATCCTGCTAAAATGCCAGAATGTCTTGGGTCCACCCTGCTGTTGTCATCTCCAGCCAGCATGGCCATATCTGAATTGGATGGCAATGATTGGCCAATACATGGCCATGCTTCCTGGTTGGGGATGTTAGCTAATGATATTTTTGATTCCCAAAGTAAAGGAAATGGTGGCATCTTGTACCTTCTCTGTTCTGCATATAGGAAAGAAATAAAGTGGCAATTGAATCCACCATAGCTAAGGGCACTAGGCTGGCTTAAATGACACAAAACACTCACAGCACAGCACACTCAGCTTACGTTTCAGCATCTAGACACTCCTCCAACCTCTGCCTGAGGCACTTGTCTCATTCTGATTAATGGTAGGGCCAGACATGGAAAGGAACTATAGACCAACACATTTGGAGGATAGCAGATGAAAAGCCTCTCAATGGCTTGTTTTACTGCTGGACTCCAATAACACTTAATTAGTAAGTCTCAATGGCACACATAATTCAATTTTATTTTTAATTTAAAATATTTTTACCCCACCTTTCTTCTAAAAAAGGACCCGAGACAGCTCACATCATTAAAGACACAATATTAAAAGCTAAAAAAGGTAAATTATTCAGACATTAAAAGGAATTAATAACATTATATTAAAGACGTTAGGGAAAAGCATTACTAAAAACAATTTTAGAAGCAACAAACATCTGGTTTTCAAACCTCTCCTAGACAGCCAGTCACTAAGGGAAATTCTGCCTAAAGAAAAAGGTCTTTGCCTGCTTGCAGAAGCAAAGAGCTTTCTCTTCAGGCAAAGACTGGGCCAGCCTGGCCTTCCATGGAAGGGAGTTCCAAAGTCTCAGAGCAGCAACAGAGAAGGCCCTCTCCGTTTCCCCACCAAAGACTCCTATGAGGGTGCTAGGACCAATAATACCAAGATGTTAATAAATCAGGAGGGTAAATCTATTTGCCATCTCCCCTGGAATTTCTTGTCCAGCTGGTAGTTTGAACAAAACCACAAAGGCCTCCTATTGGTTGAATGTGTAGAGGTCAAATTAGACTTTGATATAAATGATATGTGAACTATTTTCTGATGTTATCCTTTTTCATAGAAAGTCTTAAAGAAAGGATGGAGAATGTGTAACCCTCCAGAGGTTGTTGGATTGCAATTCCTGTTAATCCTAACTAGAGGGACGTGGTGGTGCTGTGAATTAAACCAGAGAGCCTCTGAGCTGCAAGGTTGAAAGATCACCAGTTCGAATCCACACAACGGAGTGAGCTCCCTTTGCTTGTCCCAGCTCTTGCCAACCTAGCAGTTCAAAAGCATGTAAAAATGTGAGTAGATAAATAGGTACCACCACAGTGAAAACAGTGTTCCGTGTCTAGTCACGCTGGCCACTTGACCACGGAAACTGTCTACAGACAAACGCTGGCTCTAAGGCTTGGAGACAGGGATGAGCACCTCCCCCTAGAGTTGGACACGACTGGACAACTGTCAAGGGGAACCTTTACCTAATCCTAACTACCAAAGCTAATAGTCCAAGATGATGAGAGCCACAGCTTGATATTGTTTGGAGGGCAACACATTCCCTACACTCACCTTGGAGGTAGAAATCAGGAGTAAAGAAACAAGAAGTGGGAAGGCTGCTTTCATAACTCCCACTCTTTAGTCAAAATTATCCTCACCAGATAGTTATCTGTTATCTAATGAAGAATTTAAAACAGTATAGGTCTCCATATCTTTCTCTCATGAGAGGAAAAGAAGAGCTGAGAGAGAGAGACTGGGGCTGGAAAGAGAGGAGTGAAACAGTGTCTTTCACTATCATTCTTCCATGCAGTCTGATAGTTTCTATTCTATTTCCTTCACTGGGAAACTCTCGAAAAACATGTCTGCTTTGTAATGTGTATTTTGGCCTCAAAAATAACGTTTATTCAAAAACATTTAAAATCTATTATATGTAACATCTGATACTGGAGCTTTAAAGCAGATAAGGAGGCTAACGTCTCCATATTCTCATGAGAGGAAAAGAAGAGCTGAGAGAGAGAGACTGGGGCTGGAAAGAGAGGAGTGAAACAGTGTCTTTCACTATCATTCTTCCATGCAGTCTGATAGTTTCTATTCTATTTCCTTCACTGGGAAACTCTCGAAAAACATGTCTGCTTTGTAATGTGTATTTTGGCCTCAAAAATAACGTTTATTCAAAAACATTTAAAATCTATTATATGTAACATCTGATACTGGAGCTTTAAAGCAGATAAGGAGGCTAACAAAATGTAGATTGGAGATGCTGGGTTAGGTCTTTCTTGCACAAAAGAACTGCATTTGTGAATTACACAGCCTTGTTAAGCAGAAGATGGGGTGGCCTGTATTCACTAAGCAGCTGTGGCAGAAGGGAAAGAATCGCTGCAACCCTCTCCACCACACCAGCTGCTGCTACCATCTTTCTTTACCACTTTGTCTTCTCCCATCACCCTTGCCTCCTTCTCTCCCTGCTCCTTGCCTTGCAATGGCAGCAGGAGTGCCAACCTCTGCCTTGCTATCCTCCGTTTCAAGCAGCAAAGGTTAGGAAGGTAGCTAGATGATGCAAAGATGTTAGAGGGGACAACGGTAATGGTTGGGTGTAGATTGTAAGGGAGAGAGGTATGGCAAGAGGAAGGAAGGAAGGAAGGAAGGAAGGAAGGAAGGAAGGAAGGAAGGAAGGAAGGAAGGAAAGGAAGCAGCAGCAGCAGTGGTCCTCCAGTAGTGAGAAGAGGTGCAATTTGCTGCTCTAGCTCAAATGGCATAAGGAATTGGCCAGCCCTGGTAGAAACAGAGTAGCAGAAGAATCCCCAGAAACACTGACTGAAATTCTGTTGCTTTAGTGTAGCAAGCCCCAAGTAGAGTCGACCCATTGAATCCATGGGGTTTTGGTGATTAGGCTCCTCTGTAAGTTCTGCTGATTCAGATGGGCCTACTCTAGTTGCAACTTGCCATGCTAAACCACAGGATGCCAACCATTGTATGTCATTAAGTTTTGAATGTTACTAAGCAAGAACCACAGCCTTTCATAGCAACTAATGTACTTTCATGATCATTTTCTGATCAGAAATCTCACTTTTGACTGATTGCCTATTAAGGGGCTTGCTGAACATAATTCAGAACAGGAGAATTTTGCAGACCGTATGCACAAAAAATGCAGGAATTTGGAAGGAATCCATTACAAGGATTCAAATAGTTCAAGTAAACCAGTCAAGTAAGTAATTTTGGACCTCTTTGTGGTTTAGGAATTGATTTCCCTCTTTTTACATAATACCACAACCACTGAAAAATAAATGCTGAAACAGTTAAGTGGTGCAAATTTTATTCCAATCAAAGTCAGTGGTGAAGTTCCCATCATTAATGAATTGCACTTACAGTGGCTGCTTTGGTGTGGTACAGAAAATTCAGTTGCCCTGGGAGGTAAACAGATTGCAGTTTAACTTCTGTGAGAGAAAGAAACATAATCAGTTTGGCTGGGATTGAAATGTCACACACTTGCAAGATGAAGGGTCCATATGGAAACAAAACCCACAATGATCCCACAAGCGAGAGGACTGGTAGCAAAATGCATGTTAGCCAATCGATTGGGAAAGAGTGATCTTGTAGGCAGAGCAGATGGACCAATGAGCTTTAGAAGGGCAGAGAGGCACTGGAAGCTGTAAAACAGCATTGAAGTCAAGAGATCTTTGTGAGAAGATGGGGAGGAAAATTCTGGATACGTTAGTTAACAGAAAAGGTGCATTTAAAAAAAGAGGTTCATACATAATCCTCTTGTCTAATGATGCTGGTATGATACAAATGGTATAACGTTTGGAAACAAATTGCAGTAGGTTAAGACATCTCCATAGACATTACCTGTTGAACGCTATGTCATGTGACGTAGCATGCAACAGATGTTTACAGAGGTTTCTTAACTTGAAGCAATTCACTTCCAAAAGTTATGCCTTTTGTATAGCTACATAAGAGGCTTTCCATCATAGTATTGTACCGTTCAAGCATTTTTATTCATAGAGTTCATGGAGCTTAGTAGTTAAGTAGGATTTGCCACTTAAAGTTTCCTCCGGAGTTTCTGTGAAAACTGTAGCCAATAACAGACATCAGATCGCACACTGTAGATCACATGTTGTTTCTCTGAGTATTTTTCACACTCCTCCTCCTCTTCCTCCTCCTCGAAACAGGCCTGTTGCACAGTGGAAAAGGATGTTGTTCTTTTGAGGAAGGGGAGGAGCATGTGTAGCCCCTCCAAAAAAGTTGCTACCAATCAGAACTTGTTTCTGTGCATTCTGTCCAGTTCTGTCATTCTACTTCAGAAAGACATGGAGCAGATACCAAAATAGAAAAAAAAAGAGAAAAGAAATACAAGTAGATTTTAACTGAATTCGTATTTGTGTGAGGTGAACTCCCTTTTCCACCCCTCCCTTCTCCTCCCTACGTGACTCAGCCTCTGGTGGAGAGGCCCTGAAGCTCTTAAAGCTCTCAGATGGATGACAATCCTTCTCGTCTGTAAACGAAACTGCAAAACAATAATCGCCAAAGGTACCACGCTCTGGATCTTCTTATTGATGGTCTAAATAGGTAAGGGTTTTTTTGGGTTTTTTTTGTTTTTTAAGAAGTCTGCTGATACTTAACAGACCAAGCTGCTGGAGAATGGTTTTTTGACCTGCAGCAACCAACTTGGGAGACATTCAGGTTTGGGGAAGGCTGATTTTATCACCCTTTCTTCTAGTAGTTCCACTTCACATACTATGGCATAATATGATACCTTTTTAAAAGGTATGCAAACGCTTGGCATTTGAGATCACAGCAAGGACTGAGAAAACTTGCTTTTACAATGAAACGTTTTACTTAATTCAATAGTTTGTTGTAGTTAATGTCAGTCTCGTATGCACTTTGGTTGGAAGAACAATTTCTTCTTGGTATCATGTTTTTGTAGAGGATGGAAGGAGTGATACTGTACACGCATCTATCCTATGAGCTTCTGGATAATAGTACCAATATATCACAGCTTGCCTTGAAAGACAGAAACTGAGCAGTCAAGGTTTTAAATGTCAGGAAATCAAAACAATTTTGGGGCTGGTGGAAGCTGTTAACTGTTTCATTATATTGCAAGATCATTATATATGTTTTAAGGAGCTGGTTCTTCAAATTAATTAATTTTGCATTGTGGAAGAACGCAAAAGAACAGAGAAACGAATAATCTAATTTTGGTACAGTAATAAGCTGATTCTTTGCTACCTGCAGTTTTAAAGTTTAATTCCTTTCAAGACTTAAATCTTCTCCACCCAATTCCTGAAAAACCAGTTCCCACAGCTTGCATTGCTATGAATAGACAAGTGCTTTAAGCCTTACACTTTTGTGCTTTGTAAAAACGTAGCTTGTGTACTCATAATCTTCTCCTATGGTTGCGTTGATGATGGCCATCCACAACAATATATATACGTACTGTATATAAAGTGTGAAGTAGGATATATACCGGTCTGTAAAAAAGATACTATTGATATTGTGAAATTTGTTAAGACAAGATTAGAGTAGGATCTGTTTTGATTTTAAAACGTGCACCTGATAAGACTGACAGAACCTTCTCCTTTGCCCACAGGAGATTTAACTATCATGTTCTAGGACAGGGCATTTTATTTTACCAGTCATGTTTTCTTGCTAAATCCATGCAGAGTATTATATAGGTGACATCTTGCACTGTCAGCTGAATGTGCTTGGAGGAATTGTCACGAAGAAACATTTCTTTGACAGAAAATTTTTTAACCCAAAACTGTCTTATAACACTGCCTTTTTAAAACTATAGGTGCTCGATATTCCTAAACCAAAACTTTTAGTAAACATATTATGTAGCTTTTTGAAAAATGATCTATTATTAATATTGACATCTTATTTATTCATTTATTAATACAAGTATTGTTGAATCCCTATGGCATCTACAATAGAATATTTTCAAAAATTATTATTAAAAACAGATTTTAAACCATTTAAAAGGTCAGCTTTAAAAACCAAAGTCCTTCCAAAAGCTCATCAAGGACAGGGATAGCCTGACCTCACAGGGGAGGGAATGCTACTTAGGCGCTGCTGCAGAGAAAGCCTTGCGTCATGAACTCACCAGCCTAGTCCCATAAGGTGGTGGAGCACAAGCTGGCCTCTCCTGAAGATCTCCTGGAAGGCTCAGGAGGAAGTAAGCTTTCAGCTACCACCAGCTCAAGCTATCTGTTTATTTGTGTTTTTATTGCATATATATTCTGTCCTTCTACCGTGTAATTAAAAAGTCCTGTACTGAGACGTAGAAACCCAACATTCTTCATCCTGGTTAGGAAGTCTTGAATAATCTTATTTTAAGTACACAATAAGGTGGGTTTCAAAATAAAATGTTGATCTTCCACACTACCTGTGCAATGAGGGATGAAAACAGGGATGAGCCTGGTTACCCAAGAAGCCCATTTTAGCATCTGAGTGACCACAGGACATGTTGGGGAATTGGGGACACCAATCTACCAGTCATCAGCATAGCTCAACTCCCTGTCAGAGAGCTGCAAGGAGTGAGTTCATATTTGATCTACTGCCAGGGTATTTTATGGGCTGTGCAGGCATCTGTTCAGCCTCTGTGTTGTTGAGGGCAGCCCCGTAGTCTTTACATATAATTCATTGGGCCATATGCACAGTTTTCCAACATACAATTAATGATCTAATATTTTATGAATTCTCTGTTTGCTTCCTCTATTCACAATTCTTGTTCGTTAAAAAATCTTCGAGCCTGAATATTCTATTGCACAAAGTGATTGTAAGTACAGATGTCTTCCTTGTGTTATCATCTCCAGAATGTTCACACATGAGAAATGGTTATTTCTGAGACATTCAGAAAAATATGGAGTGCTAGGTTATTAGCTGACATATTATTGGTTAGTTACACCAGATCTATGAGCCATAGCATCAATTGCAGCTGCAATCTTATTTATTTATTTATTTATTTATTTATTTATTTATTTATTGAATTTGTACCACGCCCATTTAGTCCACTGACTACTCTGGGCAGCTAACAACATATAAAAATAAACCATTTAAAATATAAAACAAGCAATACAACAATAGACAAGGACTCAAGATGAAAAAACAAAGTGGTTAATGTCACTACTTGTATCATCATATGTCAGTCATGCTGGTGTGTGATGCAGGTATAAGTGGCAACTCATTAGCTAGTGACATTGCAACAGTGCAGTTCACAACATTGCACTTAACACAATCGTAACCAACTGTTCTTTCTACAGATCTTATATGTTTTTATTCAGTGTTATGGTGGCAGCAGGGTTAAGGCAGAATATAGAGGATTGAGGTGTACCCTGCCCTTCAGCCTCCTTGCTTTTGGACACTACAGGAACTCCATGAGAAGAAGAAATCTCCATAAGGAATTTTCCATATCTATCCAAGTATGAGATTTATGAAGATATGCTAGAAGGATCTTCTTACTTTCCTTCCTCACTATGGGCAAAGAGGGTATTGCCTCAGACTGGCACCTCTTCCTGATCTCACCTCATGTACAATTCAGGAGGCCATGATCAGACAGTCCCAGATCTTCACAGCACTGAAGAGTGCAGTAGAAATGATCTTTTTATTACTTTGAAATCATTACTTAGAAAAGCCACTTTTTAAATTAGACAGAAGATCACGGATGGGATGGAAGAAATTCTTCTTTCCATTGTTCTTCCACCTGCAGCAAATGATGTTTCTGTAACAGAGCACTTCCTTTAGTCCCAGATCCCAGCGCCTACTTGTTCTTAAAGCATAAGGGTAGCTCATAGCCACTTCTCAAAAGGCTGATGTCACCACACAGAACAACAAAGGCCTAATGCGTAGGTACTAGGCGAGTGTGCACCTCTGTGGACACACTCTTCCCAAACTCATTTCTTAGATGTCTGTACTTGTGTATATAAAGCTGTGTGCACATATTTGGCTTTCACATTGGCTGCTGCAGGAATTGCTAGCAGAATACCAGTTTCCTCCCACAGCAATCATGCACGTGGTAATGCTCTTAGGAAAAGGACATTCGTGATAAAAAGACCATCTTTATAATGAATTCCATATGCAGGAGCATCAGGTTTTAATTGCTTAGGAGTTCCTGCTAATGAATTTATGAGCCTGGCAGCCTTATGGTAGCCCAGAAATTCATTACTCGTAATTGAAAAAAGTTTAGCTTATCTTGATTATGATATTATCATATTTAGAGACTGCTTCACAGCATTCAAAACATTTCATATACTTTAATTCAGTCATCACTAAAGCAGCTGTGTTAAGAGAGGTAACTATTATTATTCCTACATTTCAGGTAAGGCCTACTTGAAGGTCATCTACCAACTTTATAAGAAAGGAAGCTTAGATTTCAACAGTAGGCAATTGAACATGTAACTTTATGTTTAGCTGCTGTTCTTTACAGAGATCCTCTCACTGGATGGTGCATGTCATGTGACTCTAATCTTAAGCCTAAACAATACAGATAGAATGTAGCTTTACATGGACTCTGTTACCCTTCCGTATCTCCCTCTCATGTGTGCTGGATAATATATGTTCATATAATGCCAACTTTAATGGTGATGCATGACATGATGCCATCATGCAATAAACAATGTATCCCTGTTGACAAGTCATCAAGTGGGTGGGTAAGACAGTGTCCATCGAATGACAACATATCATTCACTGTCTTAAACAAGATAGTCTACAATCATGTTTAGTTTGTCCGTATACCTTCTCGAGTTCCAGAATGTGGGGTTCTGGCTTGACATTTCCTTTTTACTGAAAAGCAGCTCTAAAACCTGTTGATATGTTTATTGAAATCAATATCAAACAAAAGGAAGCCATTAACAAAAAAACAAAACAAAAAAAAACCCACTTACAAGGTTTTTTTAAACAGTGCTGTCCCTTTAACAGTAAAGACTATATACATCTAACCAAAATATTTAATTAAATTTTTACAGATTATAAATTTCATGAGCATCTCATTTAGTTATTTAGTTAATGCAGTTCTATCTTTGGTATCCAGTGTGGTATAGTGAACAGAATGATGGATTAGGACTCAGGAGACCTCGGTTTGAATCCCTGTTCAGCCATGGAAATTCACCAAGTGGTGGGCTCAGGCAATGGCAGGCTGATGGGCTTTGTGGTGATCACCAGATAATGGATATTAGGATAGCAAAGAGTCTCTTAGCAATAGATTAAAGAAGTCAGCCACACACACAGATGGATGTCTGCCAGCAGTACTCCTGGTGGGCGACTCAGCAAGGAAGCAGAATGAGAAGTCTTCTCCGTCTCTCTTTCGCCAACGTTCTGCTTCTCTGCCTCCAGGAGACTGTCCTTTTATTAACATTACAAGGTCACAGGTAGTGACAGCATTACAGATAGTAGACAGGGTTCAGACAGGACAATGGTTACATTAGGGTTGGTCTGGGGAAAGGCAATTAATCAAGCCCTCTGATTGGCCTAAGGAAAGGCTTCTATGGCAAGCTCTCTATGATAATGAGAAAGAGGAAGAATGGTGGCAGCTCCTCCCCTCAGAAGCAGCCACAAGATGCTAGGAGAGTTTT